AGAATCCCAAAGTATTTTCTTACCAGAGACTTCCGATAACAAAGGGGAAAGCATCAATGTCCCACTGAAGAACCTAGCAGGCACGACCTTTGCCCCGTTATTACGTGATCCTGCGAGCTGCACATAGCAGCACAACACATCACCACAACACATCACCACGCTGGCATTCCTACCGCACGTGTGCAGGCTGACTCTCATCATGGTGCAAAGGCCTAAGTGCAAACCGAAGAGCACTGTACAAAGTAAGTGGCCTGCACATTTCAAAAGGGTCAGTGTAATGAAAAGTAAAGTGAAAGATGGACTTGAGGGGTGGTAAACCCATGGCACGTGTGCAGCAGCATGCTGTCTGTTAGCATGGAAAGTGCCAAGAGGTTTGTCATCATTGGACTAAGCCAGTTCTCCAGATCCAAGTAGATTCAAGATATGACATAGAACCCTGCCCTGGGGGACGTTCCCCACCCCCCAACAAAGGCTGTTAGTGAAGACCACCAAGATCGGAAATCTGAATAAGGCATGTAGAATTAGGGAATAGCGCTGAGCCAGTACTAATTTCTTGATTTTGATCATCTGCATGAGGCTCTGTATGAGAACATGTCTGTTGAAAACTGTAATATTTAGCAGTTAGGGTGCAGCATTTTGCAATTTACTCTCAAAATGATTCAGAAGCCTGGTATAGGGGTGCATGCCTGTAATCCTACCACTATGGGAGGCTGTAGCAGGAGGATCAGGAGCTCAAGCCCTGGGTTCAACCCCAGTCAATAAATAAATACACACACACACACACACAGCATATGAATGAATGTGCTAATAATAAAGCAGCAGTGATAAAATGTTGACATCCAGGGAATCTGGGTGGAGAATGTACAAAAATTGGCGGTAGTATTTTGATAACATTTCTCAGTCTGAAATTATTTCAAAATGAAAGAGACAAACAGCGAGATGGATAAAGCATTGCTGAGAGCACCTGAGGGCCTTGGGAGGGAACACACTGGCACGCCAGCACCCAGCAGAGCCCCTGGGGAAGGGCAGACATTGACCTTGACTGCAGAAGGCCCTGAAGCAGGAAATGTAAAGGTTTTTGGGGCAAGATGGTTCTCGGAAGCCTTGAGATGCCCGGTGAGGGTGGCAGTGACCAGTGTACGCACATATGCATGGGGGATGGGGACCAAACATGGGGAGGACTTCACAATTTTCTAAAGAAGAGAAGTCATCTCAGAATCCAGGAGGAAGGAATATGGTATCAACTTCCATCTATGACAGTCACTCCTTCTTCCACCAGGTTAAACTGGGCAGAGTACAAGACCCAAGCATGAAGTAGTTTATGAGGGGGTTGGGAGTCGGTGTCCTTCATTCTCAGGCCAACCTCGGCACATGACCTCAGGAGAACCTTGCTCTGTTAAATCCCAGACAAGCTGTCCTAGGAGGTGAGAGACAGCTTAATCCAAGGGCAAAATTTCATGCTATGTATGACTTGTGCACCTCTCTTGCTGTTCTGGAGGACTGGGTTCTAAGCCTCAATACCATGTCACACTACTTCATGGTCCTGAGTGCAAGCAGGTAGTGACAGCTTTCTCCCTGTTGGCCTAACTAGCAGCCCCAGGTGAAATTAAGGTTCTCCTGCCACTCAGCCTACCCCTTGGCAGTGTTGGAGATGGAAGCAGGGCCTTACACAAGGGCAAGTGCTCTACCACTGAGCTCCACCCCGGCCCCATCTTCCTGCTTCACAACTATGACTCACTGAAAATGTCACCCTGATCAGGAGAACCCATGTTCACGAACAAAACAGGACTAAAATAAACAAAACCTTAAGAAGGCCTCTTAAAACCCAGAATATAATTGTAGCTTATCTCTTTGCCCTAAGCTCTGTATTACGAGGTCCAAAACAATTGAATTCATATGATCCACTCCCTTCCTCAGCAAGAGACTAGATCTAAACAGTTCTGGAAACAACTATTATTTTAAATAATCCCCAAGGAAATGCTATTATTTTTTTTAGCAGCCTACTCTATCTTCTTTAGTACTTTTGCAGCCAAAGAATTCTTTTGGCTTTAAATTGAAATTCTATCAGTTTTACACCAGTTCCCACAGCCTCTGAGTGTCAGAAAATGCCTCTCCTCTTTGAGGAAACACCAACCTCCTCCCAACTGTACTCCACTCTTGCATCACTCTCCTAACCCATGTCGGTGGAGTGCACGTCCTGGGACGGGAAGAAAACCTAGAACCACAGCCCAGCACAACTTTGCATGGTCAGATTCTGGTGGGTGGCATTCATCACAATGGCCCCATTCCATCCCAAAAGACTTCCATCATGCTTTGTGGGTGACGTTTGAAATCACAAGGTAGACTTGGACTCACTGCACAGTTAAGATAAAGACTGAGCCTTTGACAGGGACACTTCTCTGTTACCTGAGTTGTCATCTCCTGCAGAACAGGAATTCTGGCCTCAGTGCCAGACCGTACTGTACAAATGAGGTGTACTATACTTGCAGTGTGATTCTTAACTGGTAAATACTGGTCCCTTCTTAATTTTACGAAAAACCTTATTGCGGAAGCAAGCATATCACTTTGAGTATTTAATTCAAATGAACAAAAAGACACCTGATTCAGATTACTAAGGTAACTATCCCTACTGGATACAGAGAAGGCATTAGAAGTGTGACACATCGATGGTTAATGAAAGGGGTCCACAGGGTATAAGTGTGACAGTGAAGAATATGGAGACAAGAAGGGTAGGAAGAAAAACATCAAGGCATCAGAAACAAAGGGCCTCGAGTGGGCTCTCATCTACGGGGAGGATTTCGGACAGACAGAGGTGAAGAAAAGAGGAGGAGGCCAAGTCAGGGAAGGAACAGCACAGGCAAGAATGGAGAGATAGGAGCACGCTCTGAGTATCTCAGGAAAGGGGGTTAGTGAATGAAGAGACTAAAAGGTAGGCCAGATGGAGGTGTCCGAAGGGCTTGAATATTGATCTCAGGTGTTCACTTTATTCTGTAAGCTCACATACTATCAAAAGTTTAAGTAAGGCTCAAAGGGCTGAGATGATCACCAGAAAGTATGGTAATTAGAAATGGTGGCAAAAACGTTAGAAAAAGACACATGGTTTTGCCTTTAGAAATGATTACAGCCAATGATATATGCACACCTATGTATATATAGTGGCACAGTTTATAATAGCTAAAACTTGGAAACAGCCCACTTGTCCATCAGTTGGAAAATGGATAAAGAAGATGTGTTTTTTCTATAAAATGGAATACTGCTCAGCCATAAAGAATGAGAAATTAGATTCATTCATAGGAAAATAGATACATATTGAGGATATACTCCTAAGTGAAATAAAAAAGTCACACATGTGTAAACACCGAATAGTTTCTCTGGTGTGAATAAACTATAATAGCACAAAAGATCCTAAAGAGATAACTGACCATGTGAAATAGGAAGAAAAGGGCTAAAGGTGTAGGGAAAGTGAGAAGGGTAGGGGAAAGGTAATAAGGGAAAGAAAAAAATAGGAGGAAATGAAAAAATGGAAATAAAATGTTTGTAAATGGGGAGGGGGGAAGGGGTGAAAGGAGGGCAGGGACAAGGGGAAAAAATGAGAACCAAGACCTGTCATGTGAAGGTACAGGATCCCAATAATGAATGTAACTGTAATGTATACCTAAAATGTACCAATAAACTAAATATGGAAAAAAAAAAAAAGAAATGATTATAGCTAGGACTTTATAAAATAAAAAATGATGAACTGGCAAGATGGTCCATCTTGAAATAACTTGTTTCCTAGATAACTAGGTCAGAAAAGACTAGGGTAATTAACTGATAACCAGAAAAATTATCTAAACACATTAAAATAATCAATCTCTCAATGGCAGTAAATTATACAAATCAGACCACAACAGCCTTACAGTTATTTTACCCTCAGACTTAAATATTTTACTGCCTAATAGTAGAGATTTAGATTCAATATTATTTCCTCACAGATTTCTGTAAGTACACTTACACTGTGGTTTTTCCATGTGATATACCTAATGAAGTTTATGTGATGTGCTAAATTTCCCTTCTTTCAGTTAACAATCCAATCTGCAATCCAATCTGATAGTCAAGAAGTACACAAAGGTCTGAGTGACAGATTTTCACATGGCCAGAAATGACTGTTATCACAGGATACTGGCCCTCAGGTTATATAGATACTTTGAATCAATTCTCCAAGTGTAGCTGTAACCCTAAACCTATACATCCAGTATAATATTAACAAGGAGAAAAAAATGATCAATTTTAAAAATACACCTCTCATACATGTTTGGTTTTTTTGTTTTTTTTCTCCCAGGTACTGGGGATCAAACTCAGGACCTTGTGCTTGTGAGGCAAGAGTGGTGCCATTTAGCTATATCCTGCCCTCATGCCTGTGCATTTAACTGAGGAGAACCAAAAGATACAAGTGTACATAAAATTTTCTTGGTAATCCTCTAGTTACAAATGCTGTATTAACTTCCATAGTAGAAAAAGGAAATTAACACAAAACAAGATAAGAGTTATTCCTATGACTGAGGCTTATGATAGGCTACCTAAAGCATTGTTTTTATAAATGGAAATATCCCTTTACTGCTCTGTACTATAAAAGATTACAGGCAAAATTTGAGAAAGCTGAAAATCCCTTTAAGTAACACTTCCTTTAAGTTTAATGGCAAATAATTGCATCTTTCAGTGATAATGAACATGAGCACCACAGAATGGAATGCAATTCTGCAGGTTCATTCAGGGTAATAGCTTTGTGAGCCTGTGACACAGCAGAGAGATCTGATCTTAATTTCCTGGAGTATAATCAGTGAGGAGCAGTAAAATTTTCACTTGAGGAAAATTTTCTAGCCTATGTAAATATAAGCAGAAAATCCATTATCTATTGATAAAAACAACAAAGCAGGTTAAATAAAGTTTTATGTGTTACTGTTTCCTGTAAGAGGCATAAGCTCATTGGATCATGAAAGTAAATAAAACACTTCACTTACTGAAATCAATGAGAAACCGTCCAAATCCTTGCCTTTGGTGTTGGGGCATGATCATTATGCAGGAGACATTATACTTCTGCTGGCAAAGCTTTTCCTGGGGGAAGGAGAAACAGATCAAGTATGTCAGAGCTCTGCTGAAGTGGGCAATTCCTGCACCTGCCACTGTCCTTGTGAAACAGCCCAGTAAGGTGAGTGAGTGGGGTAGGTCAGGACTGAGCAGCATTAATGCTACTGTGTTAATCAAACTATCAGCTGAAAACAAATATCAGCTCCTGGGGTGCCCCTCAACTACTTACTTACTTACTTATTTATTTATTTATTTTGATACCAGGGATCGAACTGTGTTCGTTTGTGAGGCAGGTGGCGGCACCACTGAACTAAATCCCTGGTCCATTTCTTTATTCTTGAAAGATGTTATCACAAAATACAAATAACATGAATAATGAATTCAAGGAACTATGAACCAAATGAAACAATAGACAGCATAGAAGAAATGCTTTCCTTGTTCATACAAGTTGAGAGATACAAAATAAAAACTCAGAGAGGTATCCAGTGGATTAAGTTAGGGTTTAGCGGGCAACCTTGCCAAATAATAATTTACCACTCTGCAACAGCAATCTTCTGCCTTTGAGCAAATGCCCAAGGGAAACTAAAATAGCAGACATGTGGGAGACGTTCACAAATACAGTTCTCCTGTAAATAAAAAGTTCCAAAGTAAAAAAAGCCAGAGAAATAATTATCTGTATCTAAAACCAGGGAAACAAAACAAAAAAGACAACACAAGAAACCCCACCGCTTCAAACAAGTGAAACCAAAATATTACCAATAGTCTGAAATCAGGAGGAAGTCAGTACAATATGGTGAGAAACAGCTGCGAGAGTTAATGAAGAATTTGCAACTTGTATGGGACATGGCATATTCTGAGTACACAGAAGCCACCAAAACCTAAAGAAACATCTGGAAAAAGGTTTTGAGGTAGTGAATGCCCTGGCCAAATGTAAACCATAAATGAGACTGACCACAAATGGAACCAACCACATCAAAGAATTGCTTCAGAACACCCAGATCTTTAATTAACCTATTTGAAAGATCACAGGAAATGAGTGTGGAAAAAAACCCACTGGGCAGAAGTAAAAATTTCTTTGTGAACATGATGAGATCCCAATGATCACACATTTGTAGCTCTCTGCAAAGCCTCTAACAAGTGAGGAAGAAGCAATAATGTGAGCCTGTCTGCTTGAGAAGATGGATTGCTCATCACTGGATTTACACACCAATGGCAAGGGTTCAAAGGATTAATTACACTTTGCAAAGCTGGATGAGTGAGCCACTCAACCTATAAGGACATGTACTTTGGATGAGGACCACCCATCCTTGAGGACATTCCTTTCCTTGCTCACCTCTGGGAGTTTAAATGGAATCCAACAGTGATCCTTCCCCATGACTTGATCACATCCCATGAATAGTACAAGCTAATGTAGATCCCATGAGTGTGTCTCCTTTCTTTCTGTCTGAAAAGTCCTATGTAAGTGATGATATTCACGAACCCCATCTTGGCCACTCCCTGGCTATTTTGGAATGGTTACTCTAATAACCTCTCCTATTTGATTTAATATAGCTCTGAAGAGTTAAAGTCCTCCATATTCCAAGTGAAATATCAGAATATGGGATCAATTTGCATGTAGTCACCTAATATGGTTAAGTTTTAGATTATTATTTTTTCCTCTATCTTGTCAAAAAGTATCAGCATTTTTTGTGGTTGTTTTTTGAGACAGGGTCTCACTGTGTAGTCCAGTCTGGCCTTGAACTCACTATGCAGCCCAAACCAGCCTTGAACTTTCAAGTGTGCACAACCACACCCGGTTGTATCAGTATGTTGGGATATTAAGAAATTACTGCAGCTGCTGTCATACTGAGAAGAAAGGGGGACAAAGCGATAAAAGCTGAGTTTGTTCTGAGTAAAATGGACACATGAAGCAAACTGGATGGAGCCAACACTAACTGTGGGTGCTGCTACAACCCAAAGGCCAATGCAAGATTCAGGAGGGGTACAATGAAGGACATGGAGGTCGGGCACCAACTTAACACACAAAGAAACGACGTTTTTGTTAGGCACAGTAGAACACATCTATAATAGAGCTACTCAGGAGGGGCCAAAGTTTGAGGCTGGCAGGGGCAGCTTGGCAAGAACCTATCTCAAAATAAAAATATAAATGACTGTACATGTAGTGGGAGAGCACTTGCACAGTATGTGGAAACCCCTGAGCTCTATCTATCCCAATACTGCCAAAAACAACCACAGAAAGAAATAACCACTTTCTCACAGGAAGGACAAATATGACCACTATTCTTTTTAATTCTTTGGGGGGAAAAAATCTTCACAAACAGACGTAAAAGGTAAGGTGTTCTGCAAATTATATAAATAGATTTCCTCTTTTCTTCTAGGTTAATTATCTGACATCGCACACTGGATTGGGCGACAAACACCACGACAGCCATCTTCCCCACACAAACACAAACACACATATCTCCTCCCAAATCATAAAACAAATTAAGCCCGAAAACAGTTACCATTGTATTTCATTAACATAATGGAAAAGGAAATTCATTAGAAGTCACTTGTCACTTAACATGGAAAAATAAATCATAAAGTACACGCCTTTTGATAATTCAATTCCTGTGTGGAACTCTTTTGATTACCATCTCCATTTATGGAAGCAGTTCCTGAAGATGGCTAGGACAAGTTAAGGTCACTCCCTGGTAAACAGTTCCAAACCCAGTTCTTCTTCTCTAAGGCATCTGAGTTAATGCTTCTCAGCAATCTTCACACAGAAGAACTGCTCTGAGCCACAGAAAAGCCGTGCCTTTCTTTGCCCCTCAGTATGTCATCCTGCCCAGGCACACATGGATAGGCAGTCTTTCTAAAGGTGAGGCTGCTTTGGAACTCAAAACAATAGCAAGGAATAAAAGAACGAAGTGTAAAATCACCCAGTGTACCCGCCCCACCGACTGTCCAAATGCCAGTGTTCCAAATCACTGAGATATTGCTGACCACAGAGGGAAGGCAATGAGAGAAAGAAAAACATGCTCTTAAATGCTACATTACACTGAATCTTTCAAGTCTGACACCACTTGGGGGAAAGGAAAATAAGCTTAACATTTAGAAAAATCAAAGATGCTAGGTGGTCTGCAAAGCAGCAATTACAATGTCACACAGATGCTGACAGTCAACACAGCACACAGTGATGAGGTCCTATACACATTTGCTAGGCACCACATTCTTTTGTTTTTTGTCTTTCTACACAAGCTCTGAACAAGAACCTGTGCTTTTCAGAAACATGTGTCACTTATTCAAATTATAGCCATAAAAAGTCCCGTTCAAAGAATGGGGCTCTACTAAAAACATTTTAAAAAAGAAAATGAAGGTCATGCTGGCTCTAGTTTTACCTTAGAGAAGTATCCAACCAGATGACAGCCTTTTTCATCATTTTTTGTAAGGACATAAAAAAGGAATGGCTCGACATCATAATACAACGTTTTGTGGTCCAGGAAGAGCTTGGCTAACAAGCAAAGGTTTTGGCAATAAATTTTGCTCATATTCCCATCAACCTAGCAAAAAGAAACAGACAACATTATTTAACATAGGAATATCACTCAATATAAAATTGTTTTTTCCTCTATGGTATTTCAGAGAGCATATTTTTAAGTCCTAAACTGATAGATTAAAACACTCCATTAAACAAGCATAGAGTTAACCAGAAAACAGCTGTCACTTGGCAATTCAGAATTCCATCTTTTCTCTAAACTACATTTAAAGTATCTTACATTTCTCTTCAAGACATCTAAAGAACGGACAAACCATTAGCAAAGGAGTAATTTTTATCTGCATTTAAAAATGATCATCTATTTTTTGTTTGAACCAAATAAATCTGAATTAAGAAAACATAGAGATCAAAATATTTCTCAAGTACATTAAATTTTATGTTGTTTTCAAAAGGACTTCACATAAAAATAAATGAACTATATTATTCTGATTCCTCAGAAGTGTGGATTAGCAAGAAAGGCTTCCATTTTGGTTTTATCCCAAGTACCATTTTAAATATAATTGGAAAAGATAAAATTTCTATGTTGGGAATACTTACAGAGAAAGTGAGATGAATTTCAACCTACAATAAGTACCATGATTACACTCTATTTCTCTTCAAAATATAAGAATCAAGCTGTGATACTGATGGCTATAGACAAGAGGGTAGGCACAGACACCAATTTTTTTTTTATCAAATGTAGTTACTTGTTGAAAACAGAAAGCACAGCAGATTCCCTAATACATTTCTTAGGGGAAATGGATATTTGCTAACCAGAGCTCTTTAACAATGAACTTGACCATTCTCCAGTCTCTTGTGGACCATATGGGTTCTCATATTGCACAAATTATTTTTAGACACCATATAACTATTTCCCTTGGATGAAACCTAGGTCCCACACTTAGCAACATAATCAAATATAGGCAACAGGCACAGAAGATACAATTCTCTCTTTAATTAAAGGGAGTTTTTATGTATCTGGGAGGATGGTCCTTTTGGAAATTGTAATATATTACCAGAAAGGAAAGATGGAGATGTATGTATCTGTGAACCAAAAATTAAAAAATGATAATGCTAAAGTAAAATTCTGATCAGGTGTAAAAGTCTGATATAAGAGGGCCACATAAGGAGAAGCCAGGAAAACAGTAATCTGTGGTAGTTCATTATTTTATAAGTTACTTAGTAAACTGCTAAGAGAAAAGTTTCCTATACGTTGTATTGTTAATACTGGTATCAATACCAATTCTAATAGGGACTTGACATTTATCAATTCCAACTCCTTTATACGAGTAAATTTTATCAAATTACTTCTGCTATTTACCCCTCTCATCTCTGTATGGTCCAAAAGTAGAGGCCCTGGAAGAGTCAACCATACTCACACACTAAGACTCGTTACCTTCCCCCTGAGAAGACTCCCTGGATTTATGAGAGCTTCAACCTCACAGGCTGACTCATGTTGATTTGTTTAATAGTTACTTAAGGAAAACAATGTGCTTCGTCCTTTGGGAAACAACGAAGCAGCAATTTCAATTTTATTTTGGTTAGAAGAAAGAACCCAAAGCATCCAGGAAGGAGACAACAGGAACGTGGACAATAGTTAAGTCTCAACTGAGAGCAGCTCTGTCGCCTCAACTAGTTAGGGCTGGCTGGGTAGCTCCCAGCATTCACAGAAAGCCAGGCAATGTGTACTTGGCTTTGCCTCTAGTCCAGTGATTCCCAACTGGGGCCAATTTTGCTCCCCAACCCCTAGGACATTTGGTTCCATTTGGAGACACTATTGGTTGCCACAAATGAAGGGGGTGGGTAGCACTGGCATCCAGTGGGCAGAGGATGGGGATGCTGCTAAACATCGCACAGCCCCCTGTAACATGAGTTTGCCAAGTTTGCCAGCTTGGAACATTAAGAGTGTCTGGGTTGAGAAACACTGTACCATTTCTAAATAAGAACTAACCATATCAAATCTCAGCAATAATACCTTTGTCCCTTTAGACTTGTTAAACAAAAAAAAATAAGAACCAAGACCTGTCAAGTAAAGGTACAAGATCCCAATAATGAATGTAATTGTACTGTATATCTGAAATGTACCAATAAACTCAATTAATAATTAAAAAGACTTGTTAAACAAGTCTGATATAACTACAAGGAGAAGTTTTTTAAAAACTGTAAGCCACAGGTGGAGTTTCCTGTGTTTTCTGACCAGTCTTGGGAAGAACTAGTGGTCCCAAGATGTTTGAAAGTGAGCCTGGTCCATGTGAGGAACTATGATATGGGGCCAGGGATTTCGCTCAGTGGTGCCATGCCTGCCTTGCAAGCGCGAAGTCCTGAGTTTGATCCCCAGTACCAAAAAAAAGAAGTCTATTGCCATACCACCCTGAACACGCCTGATCTCATCTGATCTTGGAAGCTTAGCAGAGTTGGGCCTGGTTAGTACTTGGATGGGGAGACAGCATGGTACTGCAGGCCAGGTATAAGAGGACTGAGGAGGAATAATAAATTTCAGCCTGAACAATTTAAAAAGAGAACCTGAGAGCTAAACTATATTTCAGAGAAAGAAGGTATCATGTCTGTTCTATAAGAAAGCTTGTTTTGATATCCAGGAATGAAAAACAATGCAGCATGATGGGTAACAGAAGAAAATAAAGCAAGGCGATGGAAGAATGCTGTGAAGAGAAGGAAGGAAAAGAATTAAGAAGCCCTGTGAACACCCAGTACCAGGAAAGAAACTCATAGTATCCTCAAGGTACAAATGACTCTGTTAGATAGAGTGGACTTTGAAAGTGACAACAGAAACATGATTAAACGATGAAACTATATAAAGGTAAAGATCTTCGGCTACTAAATCATTTCTGAAAATACAAAATATCTTCCAAGAAACCCAAATGACAGACATATGGCCACAAGGGGTTCCTGTGAATAGCAGAGTTCTCTAGGGGTGGCCATCTACCCAGATGGGGGGAGGCCCAACATCTGCTGGGGTCTCACCAAAAGGATTATCTTCCCTGCCAAGAACTGGATGGAAACACAGGTGGTTGTGTATTGAGGAGATATGTGCAGCTGCTCGATTCCCCAGAAGAATGAGCACCTGCCAGACACTGGCCAGAGCTGCCGAACAAAGCTAATTCTCCTGCCAAGGAAAGTGGGATTTACAAAGAGCCGAGCAGATCATAAATTCACTGGTGAATATATGTGATGTAGACAGGGTCTGGGGAAGACAAGAAAGTTAATGGGATGAAGCGGGGATTCTTCGTCAATCGAAATGGCGGCCCAGTATGGTAAAACATTACTGAAACATGGAGATATTTTAAAGAGCAGTCTGAATTCAGTGCCAAAACCAAATATACTTTGTAGCTTCTAGATACAAATCACAATCACATAGTCAACAATTAAGAATATCAGGTTTCAAAAAGCCGAGATTTTTATTTACACACTCTTACCTCAAATACTGAAAGATCTTTTCTTCGGTAAATTTCATTTGCTGGAGGATGAAACCATCCACACTTCTTTGAGTGTCTTAGCAAAATATTTTTACTTTTCATATATTTAAGACAGAATTCACACAGGTAAAGCTTTGGTAATCTGTTAAAGTTAAAAAAAACACTCTTTCAGATTGATGATACTGTTCAAGGGAGAGGAATTATTGTTCAATTTTCTGTATGTCATATAAAAGCTTTGAAAATAATTTTTAAAAAGCCAGCAGTAAAGAGAAAGTAAAGACAACTTTATAGTATCTATCATTATAATCCATAATATAAGCTGTGTTTAACTTGAAATGTCCTAGAAAGAGGTTTTCAGACTGGGAATCACCATTCTAACAATCAACAATAAAGATCCCATGCTGTGATATGACCATGTGTGTCTTTCAAAATACAAATTTAACGTTAGACTTCCAAGAGTGTTTATGGTCAGTGCTTTAACTATAATAATCTTTTACTTAGTGAATTTACAAATTTTAAAAATGACCTGCATATTTATGAGACAAGCCCTGGTCCTAATTGCTTCCATTTCCACTTCTGAATGAGGCAATTAAAGTTATCCTAGAATTATACTCAGTCTAAAGCAGTACATGCAAGGCTGAAAGCCAAAAGACCTGATTTGTTTTCTATCAATTCCACTGTCTGAGTAACAAATAGCTTTCTCAGCTCAACTGACTTTTTTTTCCACCTTAGAAATTACAATGCTTGTTTGGAGAGGTAGCCACACCTATCCCAGCAATTGGGAGGCTGAGGCAGGAGGATCACCATGAGTTCAAGGCCACTCTGGGCTACATAGTGAGTTCAAGGCCAGCCTGAACTACACAGTGAAATCCTGTCTCACAACCCCCAAAAGATCAATTTTTATTTGAAACTTCTCCATGCTTAAATTATTGTTGGCATTTATTTTTGTTTTTATTTTTGGTACCAGGAATTGAACTCAGAACCTTGCACTTTTGAGATAGGTGGTGGCACCACTGAGCTAAATCCCTGGCCCTATTGTCGGTATTTATAAGAAATTGCTTAGACACACTTAAAGGTCTCTGGGGTAAAAGAATGGGATTTTGAGGAGGGAAAGACACACACAGACAATATATATTACATATATACATATACTTTTCGGGGGAGTACTGGGGATCAAACTCAGGACCTTGAGCTTGCAAGGCAGGCGGTGGGAACCACTGAGCTAAATCCCCAGCCCAAATAATATTAATTCTAAATCTTGTAATGTAAATTTTATTCAGTGCTCCGGGACAGATAACCCAGTTACTCATACACAATAAAACACATATATGTGTATTTGTAACATATTCAAAAATACATAGTAAAGTGATCAAGTTGAGTGGTTTAGTTTTCCATTCAACTTCAACATCTTTCCTATTTTTGTGACTGGCCAGACTTCAGAATTGACAAGGGAAAGGGTAACAGTCTATGCTAGAATGAAAGTGAGTTTAAAAACTTTGCAGGCTAAGATTTGAAAAGATTCAAAGTGTCCTTTAACACTTCTGATGGAAGAAACCTACTCATATAGCTAGTTGAAGATATTTAGCCTAGGACAGTCTCATAGCTAAGCGTGGCTGAAGACAAATGAGGAAAAACTCATATTATTATATACAGTCTCTTTATTCTTATTTATTTTAGTTATTTTTTAGTCCCTCTCCCTCTCCCCACACCCGCCCACCCGCCTGCCTGCCTACCTGCCTTCCTTCCCACCTACCTACCGGGGATCGGAACTCAGGACCCTGCACTTGCAAAGCAGGTGGCGGAGCCACTGAGCTAAATCCTCAGCCTCAGTCTCTTTATTTTTAATAAGTCACAAATGTCACTAAAAGAAAGTACTTGAGAAATGTTCTTTTAAAGCTACCCATTCCCACTTTCTTCTTCTGCTAAATTGATGCAAAAAACTTGAAAATAAAATTCCATAAACCAGAACTAAAATTCTGAAAAGAAAAATGAAAAAGGGAAGTGAAGAAGAAACACAGCCAAGTACTTTATAATGGCTAAAAAATGATTTTCTGATTTGGTTTTCTATAAAACCAACATTTTACCTGTTTAGCAAAGAAAGCAAACATGGTCTAGAAGCTAAAAGGACAAGTTTATGTTGCCAGGGTAGCCAATTAGTAAAAGTATCTAATTCCTGTGTTAGAGGAGACAATTTTCCATCCTCACATACACAGTCTGCCGGGCTTATTCCCTTACCTTGCATATTCCTGTGGGTAAGGCGAGGAGTACCAGGTTTGGATTTCATATTTTCCAAATTCTATTACGGAGGGATACCGGCCACAGTCTTCCACCCCACTTTCACACTCTATTTTCTGGCGGGGGCGGGGGGTGATAAAATATAAATATTAAGAAGAATATAGACTTCACTTATAGTTGTATTCTTTTACTAGAGGGTATTCAAAACCCATCAAGACCAGAAATTTTCATGCTGTTAAAAACACACTATAGGCACTCATGAAATAATAATCATTTGTGTAAGATTCTCATACAAATAAACAAGTATGCTAAGAACATGACTGATTTGGTTGTAATGTATTAAAACTCTGATTACAAAATGCAGGTGATATTATACATGCTTATGGTTCCTTGTTCCTCCACTGAGTAATATTTATTCCAATTATTATTAAATAATAAATTGTGAAATGTGCAGTGAAGTATCCACCTCCCAATATTTCACTAATTTCCATGAGTTAAGATACATGAGGTTAAAAATTCACCTGCCTGATTTACTATGGTATTCTCAGCATCTAGTACAGTGTCTGACACAGAACAAGAAATATCTCTTGGACAAAAACAGCTAATTTTATTATGTTACAATGAAAGGGCTTTGTATGTGACAGTGTCTTTTAGAAAATAGCCTAATGTTCATTGCACATTCAAGTAGACATGAGAAAAAGGCTGAAAAATGCTAATATTAAGGGCTACAAATTAACAACTCGGGGAAATTTGGCATTTAGCAACACCAAAGCATCTGTTAGGGGGGAGAATGAGGAACAGAAATACTTAACAGCACCTAAAATAAAAAGTACCCCAAAATTTTTGCCCAACTGGCTAATACTAAGAGTAAGCATAGAAGCCCACAGCCCTCACTGTCCCTGCAATATAGATGGGGTCAAAGTGTACCTGACAATACAGCCACAGAAACCCAGTGTAGACTGTTGACATAAAAAACTGATAATCTCTAACAAAGTTGTGTCTGAAAAGTCCAAGGGGCCGAGGATTTAGCTCAATGGTGCTGCCATCTGCCTAGCAAAAAAAGGAGTCTAATACCTTTACTTTTCAATGTTCAGTTGATAATTACTTAAGTGAGTTAATATTTTAACTGGAATCATGAAAAGAAATTACTAGACACTGAAAATAAAAATGACTTCAATGATTATGAAACACAATATTGCTTTCATCAATGCCAGAGAGTTAAAAATACGCGACATTTTTCATATGGCTAGCCATCTGTGTCGGAAGAAGCATCGGTAAATTGAACAGCGATGTTCTTTTTGGTGACAATTTAAAATTGTTATTTTCTAGGTTGAGGCAAACAATCAGAAATCAATTTTTTTACACCTAGAAGTGTTTTTCAAATCTGTCTCAACTAGCACTACTATGGTCTATTTAGAGAGGCCAGCTGAGTCCTCTCCTACCTCAAAGAGTAGAGATAATTGTAGCAACTCATTGCTTTGGGATAATAGTCATTAAAGAGGGGCTCAATAGTTACAGATCCAAAAAGCATACTGCAAGAAATCAACACAGTATTCTCATAGAACAGAAGAAGCCACATTTTACTCGTTATTATAATGTGGTGTCCTGTCCTTACCTCCCAAGAAAGTTCCTGGGCCTGCTTAAAAACATCCAAATCCTCTTCAGTAACGACATCCTTATTTCCAATCATATTTACATCTGTATTTTCTTGTTTGATGCTTATTTTTATTTCTGTATCTGTCGTTTAAAACCAGCAGAAAGTGTATTCACTGAACTGAATCGTGAGGCATCATCACCACACATTACCACAATGATAGCAAATTAGCATAGTGGGCAAATAGGGGTCACTTCTTTTCCTTTTTGAGCTTTTTAAAGCTTCTATGTCTAAGCACTGCTCATAGATCCAGCAGTACCCTTTCCCCATTACGCCCAAATGTTTGTCTGGATTTAATGTGGTCATTGTTTTACAACTTTAATAAACGAGGGAACGTTAGAGCAATATAAAATGAAATCACATTTTCGAACAAAGATCAGAAAGAAGTTAAATCAATGTCTCGTTACAGCATTCTCATAACCGGCTTTGAGATAACAAATTCTACCACTTTTTCCAAATGATAACATTTTTGCTTTTTGTTCCATAAAGGGTAGCAAATTTAACGGGCCAAATTATTCAATGAAATTAGGAAGTCCGTTTCCTCCCTATGGTGGATACACACACAGACACACTCAAACCCAAACGCACACTTCACAGAATCACAGATCAAGCTTTGTGGAGACGGAAGCGGATGGACTTTGTCATGAGAAAGCAATGGAGCAGAGGGAGCGGACAAGCTGAACCCCCCGTTGGAAGCGCCCGCAGCACACGACGGAGCGGCGCTGCGGCGGAAGAGGCGGCACGGGAGAGGACACGGCAGAAGCGTGACAGTGGCTACTCATGCGGGACAACAAAGCCGTAAGCAACGCTATGGAGGCATCTGGGGGGGTCCTAGTGTCACTAGGACCAGAAATAAATCATAAAAGGTGGGAGAGTATTAGTTGGAAAAACGTTTTGGAGGTTTAGTCAGCATCAGAAAAAGGTCAAAGTTTCACTGCTTCTGTATGAAAGTGAAGTGAGAACGAGAAATAGCTAAGACCTATGTGACAAATAGGAATTTATTTATCTTTTCTCAGGGTTGGGGAGAAAGGGACGGGGCGCAGGTTTGGTTGGAGCTTAGACCTTTTGCTTACCATCATCCTGATCAGGTTTAATCCTTCCGTCTGCCAAGCTCCCCTTCCCTGGTGAGGGGGTCCCCATCTGAGGGGTCACTTTATATTTTAATCTGCCTAGCATCCTGTGCTTTTTAAGGAAAGTTGTTCGCTTGAAGTGAGCAATTGCTTTAAAAATACATCCTCTAGCCATCCCCCAGCTAGAGGAGGAGTGAGAAATAAACCTACTTCTAAGATCTCTTTTTCCAAAGAAATGGGCTTTAGATTTTGCCGTGGAAGATAAGTCAGTTTTACGACGCATACGCTTGGGTGGTGCATAACTTGGGTGTCCCTTTTTTCGAGACTGTCCCTGAGTGGTATAGATATGAGAAAGTCCGTCAAAGAGCGCCTTCAGCTGGCTGTTACTGGTAAGACTGCTAAAGGAGGGCACACTGGACTGGCTGGAAGAGCTCTGGGGAGAGGTAGAAGAAGTGGAAGTGCTGGACTTTTGTGAACTGGGGCTCTGACCAGAGAGGGGGTTTGGGGGTGGAAGTGAAGAAGGTGGAGGTTTTAGCTTTTGTGTGGTACCTGTAGCCAACACATGAGAAGTGCATGACTGTTTCTGAGAGACCTTTTTCCTTGGACGATAGTGCTTTGAAAAGTCTATTATTTCACCTCGTGATCTGCGACCATCAGGTGATGGTGTAAAAAACTTAGTAAGGCCATCAATGAGCCCTTTGGTTTTCTTGTTAACTTTAAGTGTAGAGGCAGAAATGTAGGTGGAGGTGGTGGTGATTTTGGTGGTGGCACCAGGCCGAGTGGGGTCTGTAACAGCCAATCTGCTGCTTGAGTCCTTCCCAGATGCAGCATGACCAGATGAAGGTGTGGTACAGACTTTAGTCTTTTGACCCCTACCAGGTGACCCCCTTCCTGTGAATGCATTCATGGATCCTTCATCACTGGTTACAGACCTAGGCAAAAATTTAGAGAATAGTATCAGCATTTAATAATAGAATTATAAAGGTATCTAAAAACAAGTTTATAGCAACTAGATGCATATTCAATGTGCTTAAACTTAGAGACTGAACTGCAATCCTAAGAACTGCTTTTGTGTGTGTGCCACCACCTAGATGTTTCTCTGGTGGAAAGGTGACGGCAACTACATTTGCCTGTCATGATTCTCCCAGGGCCCATCCAGCAGTACAGGAAAAATCATATGGACCCAAAGGCTATACAAGGGAGGAAAATTATGGACAGACTGAAGAACACCTAATGGTTTCATTATAAGTAAATAAAAATAAGTTGTCCCTTATGTTTTTGTAAGTAATTATGATTTCCTGAAATGTCTGTTTTAAAGTACTGGAGGAAGTAAGTCATATGTGTTATCCAGAAGAGTAAGTTTATCTGATCTCTAGTTAAAAGTAATGTTTTACACAATTTAGAAATTCGGATAAATACAATGACTGCATCTATAAATTTGCACTTTAAAAAAATGAAGCAAAAAGATATCCTCTTCTTAGCAGTTTGTGCCTAGGATGATAAGGTAGCCAATAATACTCTCTTAGGAGAGAAGACAATTAATTACAGCATAAAATATTGCTGAAAAAAGGACAACAATAGCAAAAAACTGAAGAAATGATTGAAGGAAAGCTACAGCGGGTCAGACATGACATGGAGAGTCTGGTGAAGAAGCACACATTTACTATGGCCATTATCAGACACTTGGCGTCGGAATCTTTGCCCCGGGGTTCTGACTGCTATTTCCCTTCATTAGACGCTAGACTCAGCACACACTGTTGTGACACAGCTGCCTACATGAACAGTGGCTGCCTGCCTGCACCACAGGCCAGGGCTTGGGAAGTTACCCATATCTTAGCAGAATTTTGTACAACAGAAACATTTTCATTTAAATTATGACAATACTGGGAAAAAGTACGTATTTATAAAATGATTAATTTAGCTGAAGGCTAATAATGGAGAAATGGAAGCCGGAAAATGGTATGGTATCAAATTATAAAAATATCTCCAGTAATTACAAATAAAAGGACATATTTTAGGGGTTAGTTGATACACAAAGGTTTAATGAAGCAATTTGTGCCAGTCTCATTGGAGGTGGTGCAACTGCCAGGGGCTCTGCCTGCTGCCATAGGTTCAACCAAATCGGGGATGCTGGAGATCTCTAGTGTCACTAGAAGATTCAGCAAGGGCTACCCACAAACAACTCATCCTGTGAAAAGGGTTTGCATCAGAATGCTGCATTGGACAGGATCTGGAATTGGCTGTCCAGAAAAGATAACACGCATATACGGCGTGTATAAAGCAAAACTCCCTAGACTGTCTTAAAAATTCCTAAGCGACAATTTCGAACAAACAAAAAGTTAGGAATGGTGCCAGATGCAATTTTCAGCTCTGTCCTTTGTTTAGAAAGTTTATATCCTAATTTGGCTTTTTTAATTGGGCCCTGAGGATATGGTCCCATTTCAAGAACAATGCTTACACAGATGAATGCAAAAACATATACTCTCTACTTCAAATTATACCAATACAAAAGACTTCTTCTTAAGTTTGTTTCATGTTTCCCACTAGAAATTAGCAACATAAAAATCAATTTTAAAATTCTATTGGTTAAAGTATTTTGCTAAGTTTCATAGAAAACTCTAGAAAGGGGCCTATTTTTCTATTTCTTCCTTGGGAGATATGGCACAGGAAAATTTTATTTTCCTGAGAGTAGATTAATAGTGAATTACTTTGGGGAAAAATAGAGTAAGCAAGTGAGTAAGATTTGTAGTGTTTAAGGTGGAGGTTGAGCATGTATTCATTTTTAAATCACAATGGCCCCTTTCACTAAGGTTACAGAGATGGTGACAGTCCAATGCTCTTGGATATCCAAGTGTACTGATTTCATTTGTAAGCCCTGCACTTTAAGCCAATAGTCAAATCATACACAGGTCAAAAATGAATTAATTTCACTTCTTATCTCTTCCCAATGATTTCAACTAAGTCCTGCTAAATGCTGTAGTGGGCTTTAGAGACAATTATATGGCACAAAAGGATAGAGGAAATGGGGTTATCACTGTAGATCAGCAGGCCACTGCAAATATACTATGTCTGCACAAGCCAAATGATCCTCTTTGGGGACAAGTGATCATTGGCAGGTTTCTCAGAAGCTCCTGTTTTGGAAAAGAGACTTTAAAAACGGCTAATACAAAATTAGAATCAGATATGTTTTTGTAAACTTTTATCTGAAGTGACAAAAGAGATCCACTATAGACATGAACAAATTCCTCTCATTTTAAAGTTCCTATGCAAATATTTATATAATTAAGCTTTTTGAATGCTCAGCCAGTGAGAAAGTAGGCTGAAGGACTATCTCCAATTCTACCATTCTGCTTTCATTCTGTTGCTTGAAAATGTCAGTATTACAGTTACTGCCAAAAGAAGACCCCAAAAAATCAACTGTAATTTAAAAATGATTATTTTCAAGAAATTTCTACAGCTAATACAAAAGAAGAAATATTCCTCATCCCTTGGACTTTGAAAAATGATGTTTAAAAAAAAGTTGAAGGGAATCTAAGGAGATTATAATCACCTATATTTTAAAGCACAACATAAAAGATTTCTTTGATAAGATCTCAACCTACAACAATCGTTGCTTTAATTTATTTTTCGGTCGTCCAATGGGTTTTGCATATCGCCGTTTTATTTGTGCAGCTTTCTCATGAAGTAGTTTTCTTCCCTTTTTCTTTGGTCTGCAGACTTGGCAAATCCACATCCCTGAATTAATATATATATGAGAAAAATATTTTAATGTTTCATTTTAGAAGATATAAAATATAAACTGCAGCCGTATTCAGCTGCCCAAGGAAGCCTGTATGTAGAACTTTAGGGAAGTGAGTCATTCCCTTTTGTTACTCTCCTCAGGAAGTCATCTCTACAGGTGAATTTCCCAGGGGTCAAGGAGGTCAGAGCTGAGTCCGCCTCCATTTAGGAAACCTTTCCTAACACTATATCCAACATGTCACCAACTCTCCCCTCACCACATGGAAACTTGCCCCTGTCAGTCATTACATAAGTTTTTTTATTTGGAGGAAAGAATTTCAGGTCAATCAGTTTTTGGAACTTCTAGAGAAAATATATTTGCTTTAACTTCTATTTCCAGAAATTTTCAACACTAAAAATCTTTAGGAATATAAAACACAGCTCTGAAATTAAAATTTTAAAATTTGAAGTACTATGCCAGTAATTAAAACTACACATCTGCATAGGGAACTAGATCAGTGATAAAAATTGAAACACCAGAACTGACACCTACAGACAAATATTGTATATCAAAAAGGTCATACTTCAAATCAGTGGGGAAAAGATGAAATGATTCAATAAACTACCTGGGAAGGAAAAGAATTATTTCCTAATTCGTAATTTACAAAAATAAATTCTGGATAGATAAATGTTATGATATGAAAAAATTATGTATTAAGAAAAATATATGGATATTTAATCTAAACATGATAATAAAAAAGAAAAAATAATCTAAACATGATTGATATTTAAAATTAAGTCATAAAGTTTCATGAATTTGACTACATTAAAAAAATAAGCTCTTGCAAATTTGGAAGAAAATGGTGAGAGTTCCAATAAAATCAGATTAATGAATAAAAACAGGTATTTTACAAACAAAGATATACAACCACCCAATAATCAGACACAAAAATGTTCTCTCACTAATGAAAGAAAACATTATCAGGCCCCCCTTTTTTTGAGACAGGGTCTCACTATGTAGCCCAGGCTGGTCTCAAACTCAGAGCGATTCTCCTGCCTCAGCCTCCCGAGTGCTGGGATTATAGGCATGTGCCACCACGCCCGGCTATCAGCCCCCTTTTCCTATTATCAAATGGTAGAAGGAAAAAAAGTCCACATACTAAGGCTGTATTTCAACAAATCTAAAACAGTGTTGGCCATAACAGAGGAAGGAGGAAATTTTCTTACGTACTGGCAGTCGGTCTAAAAACTGATATGGCCTTTCATGTACATGGCTTCTGACCCAGCAATTCCTCTCCTAGGAAATTAGCTTTACAAAATAATTGTGGGTTGAAAAAATGGCAATATTTGAAATGTCCACCATAGTGAGTTGGTTAAATAAATTATGGTTCATTTATACTACACACTGCTGCAAAACCAAGTACCCATGGAAGCAGCTGGACTGAATATGACTGAAGCAAACTGAACATGAGACAGTAAGGTACTGTGAGATTGTGGCAAGTTAAAGCATTTGTGCCCCACCTAGAGACTCAAAAGTTCTACAGTACTGTGACAACAGTCACCACATTGCCATCTTTTGCCCTATGATGTAGAGTTTAGACCTTTTTTTTTTTTTTTTTGGTACTGGGGATCGAACTTGAGTCCTTGTGCTTGTGAGGCAGGTGGTGGAATCACTGAGCTAAATCCTCAGCCCGAGTTTAGAACTTTAATAATGTGAAAGTGCTTATAATCTATTACTGGGGGGGATAGGTTTACAAGAACAGGCATCGAATGTTCCCTTTTTTTTTAAAGTGTGTGTGGAGACAGGGAGGGAATTTCCAACTGATTTTTCTTTTCTGCCTGTACTTTCTATACCTTCCACAATGAAAACGTATGCATTTTATAATCAAAAGGTAGTTAGAGTGAAATGTTTAACATGATATGAAGTGAGGAGTGAAAGGGGGAATTAGGCTGCTCACACAATAAAATCTCTTCACAATAAAGTCTATATTCCATCAGAGACAAGAGAGTTGTTCAAAATAATCAATTAACGGCCACGAGGACTGTGATGGCTTTCTGTCAGGATTCTGAAATCATTATTATCATCATGAATTTTAAAAATGCTAAACTTCTCAGCTCCACTGTACTGAATAATACAGAGCGTTTGAAACTTTTGACTTCTACAATCTAAACTTAATCTAATAAGGGAGCAGTCTTCGGAGAGGGATGCTCTTTTTATCACTAGGCCTAAATTGGAGCTCTTGATTATACATATGTCCCCAAACTAAATGCTTTTATACTCTTCTGTTCATAACCTGCAAGCATGTGGAAGTTGGGAGGGATAAAAAGTGCTTAAGGAAACCTGCATACTTCTGAACTATGAGACACTAGGACAAGGCTAACAAGTATATAACAAAATACATTGTTAATGTGGTTTAAAAGGTCACCTTTTGGCATTCTGGAAAGTGGTGGGTCACAGCACTCCATATGGAATCCTCTATCACAGGAGTCACAAAAAAGCATATTATCCTGGAATATAACATATTAAGAGACTAATTGAGATTGCAAGATGCTAAGAATTCTTATATTACCAGATTCACAATAAAATATAATCATGGAGTGCCAACTTCCCAGCTGCAGTTTGACATCTTAAGTATTTAAAATTTTAAAAAGTACAATATTCTACCAAAAAAACACCTTTCACACTGAAAATTAATTTACCTTGAGATGGTCTACTGAAAAGAATACTTACTGCATTTTTGCCTTGGATTCTACATGCACTGCATGTCTTGCACTCGATACACTGCCACCTTAAGGCCTTTACATTTGTTGTTAACTCAGGACAAAATTTCAAACAGGATGGGTGGCCTAGAAAAACAGAAAGCAAATTGCTTTATGGGAATGGTGCTCTAGATTTTGTTCTGAAACTCTCATTCTCTACATTTAATAGATGCTGATGCTGGCCAATCAACCTCAGGAACTTAAAAATACAAAAAGATTAGAGGATCCAAACTTTAGAGGATCCAGCTGTGTCCTCCCTCCAGAGTGACGATGTGTAACCACCACCGTCTACCCAGAGTTCTTGGCTTGCATATGTGAGCAGGGCCTGAGTTTGAACAAGTCCTGAGTGCTGCATGTGATGGTTATACAACTTACAACAAAAGTTTGTTGAAGACGGGGGCTGCCTAACATAATCCAGATACCCATACAAAACTAAAAAACAATCCAGTAGAGGGCAAAGAACATTCCATTGCTGAGACCAAAAATCTTATCCCTGGGTCCCTGAGTTTAAATTTGGAAAGGAGGAGCAGAAACAGTGAATCTGAGAGTTAAGAAAATGACACACTTAGGTCAAATGGCACAAATCAAGAAGCACACTCTTAGCAGGTTCCTTCCATTTTTATCACGGTTCACCTTTCTCACCAAGGCCCTTTCTTTTAAGTTTCGGCAATCCTTCTGCCTCAGCTTCCAGAGTACTGGCATTAAAAGTGGTTGCCGCTTTGTCCACGAATACACCAAGTCTTATTGCTTGTCTCGCAGAAGGCACCTGGTCACTCTGAGAAACAAAGCCATGCAAAGAAGCCTCCCAGCTTTGAAGAAGCAAGTCCTTCCTATGGGGTGTGTGCGTGTGCGTGTGTGTGTGGTAGTGGCAGGAGCTCGTAAAGGCAGTTCTGCTTAAAACCTGCCAGTCTTCTATCATAACCCTGAAAAGATCTCCAAAGTTCATTTTGTATTTTTAATTTAGTCTTTAAATAATAAGAATGTTAGTAAACCCCGTGTGAAAGAACTTATAATAAAGCTGCAAAAGAAAGCTGAACAGTAATAATAATTTTTTAAAAGGGCAGATCCTGCAATTTCAAAACTGTTTCATAATTTCCTGCCTCTGGCAGCTTCATTGTTTAAATATGTATTTTGAGTTGCTGCCAAAAAGGTCCTCCTCCCTAAAGCTTAACAGGTGCTTCATAAAATTCCACCCACCCGGACATTTGGCTTTTTGAAGTAAAAATATTCAAAATCTATCATCAATACAGTTAATAAAAGTCCACAATTCCTGGGTTAGAAAAAAAAATCCAAACATCTGTACTTAAGATGTTGAGAAAATAAAATTCTGTCAGAGGATTATGACCTCAGGCAGGAGAGGCTCCTCTGCAGAGGTGGTTAACCTCTGACACCACTCTTCTACAAGGACTTCTCTCATTCGAATGAATGAAAGAAAAAGGTTTAAATAAACTGTTAAAAGCGGTATCAATCACCTCTCTGCTCAGGAATGGCAAACAGACAGCTCACTCACTGTCTTTAAGATAGGCTCTAAAGGGGGAGGGTTGAGAACAACTTTGATCAGAACCCCGCCCCCATAGTGAGGGACTACAACTTTTAAAGACCAGCAATTTAAATTCCACTCTGAAAAAATGAGTTCTATCAGCTTAAAAGTATAGTATTCATTCTTTCCCCTCCTTTTTTTTATTACTTCCTGTAAGTCATACATCACTGGCACATATGACCTCAATTTCATGCGCTGAATTTTTCTCTACATTAAAATCTGTTTCTGAACTCTGTAGCTTAATACTCAGTAACTAAGGTAATTCACATTATATTACAGCTTACTACTTATTCCTACAGCTATCCTATGAAAGATAGATGCTTTTAATAACTATTCATTTTGAAAATTAATGGATTTCAGTCTTTTACAATCAAGAGCTAGGAATACTCTGCCTCTTAATGCTTTCTCTTACTTTAAGCAATCTTATATTTCAAGCTATTAGTATATAAGCTGGCTTGTCAAATTCTAAAATCTTCACCCTATCTTTCTTCAAGGCAGCAATCTTATCTTTATTTAGCTCAAAAGAATAGGCCACATATCCCTTCCAGCTCTAAATTTCCAAGATCCTATAAAGGATGATGAGGGACTAAGAAGCACTTTCATTTCATTTCTCACAGCCAACTTTGAAATAACATGAAAGGCTATAACTGCGTCTTGATATATTACTAAATAATCCATAGTAATAAGATGATGGAAGATGATAACTATTTTACAATTCCTTACTTTGTATTCAGCCATTCCATAAACTCAACAAATTCCTCTAAAATTCTTACTCTCTCTACTGGCCCAATTCATGGTGGTTTGTCTCTCTGGAGTTTCCTTTACTATTGTAGTTTGCAACTTACCAGATCTGAGAGCAATAATCCGTATTAATTCACCGATTCATTCTTATATGAACACATAAATATTTATAGCTTACCACAATTTTACCTAACAAACCCAAAGGGATACTGTGTACAATTAAACAATACCAATGGAGTCACAAAACAGTAAAAATGACTTTTGAGGATGTACAGCAATGATTTTGGGGAAGAACTTTTGGAGGAAACATTACGGTCTCTGTGGTAGACATCCAAAGATAAGCATGCCCTGATTCCCACAACATGACAATCAATGACCTGTCTTGGCAAAATGAAACTTGTCAGGGCTAAAGAACCTCAAGAAACTACCTTGAGGAGATTACCTTGGATTACCTGAGTATATCTGACCTAATCACACGAGTGAGTTCCCATGAACAGAGAACCTCTTCTGGCTGGGTTAGACAAGTATGATGGGAAAGGAAGACCAAAAGGTTCAGATCAGGAAATAGTCTCCACTATCTTTTTTAAGACACAGGAAGGGTGTCACAAGCCAAGCAATTAAGCTGACTTCTAGAATCTGGGAACAGCTTTCACCTGACAGCAAGAAAACAGGTATCTTAATCCTACAAACACAAGGAATCTAACCCTGCCACAATCTAAATGGGCAAGGACAAGCACCCTACCCTATAATCTCTGAGGAGTGCAGCTACCAATCCCAACACTTCACTAGATTTTTTTGTTTGTTTTTTGTTTTTTGAGACAGAGTCTCACTATGTAGTTCAGACTGTTCTGGAACTCACTGTGTAGCCCAGTATTGGAACTCGCAGTGATCCTCCTGCCTCAGCCTCCCGAGTACTGGGATTACAGGCATGTGCCACCATGCCCAGCACTAGATTTTTTGCTATTAACATTGTGTGGCTGTTTTTGTGTGGAGGAAGTAACTCAAGTTTGATGAGCTATTCTAAATGTTAACTTTGAGAAGCCCACGGGTGGACAAGTGGGGTGGACATGTGTAGAAGTTTCGTAGGCATTTATACCTAAGGATCCAGGGCTCCACAGAAACTATGCAGAAGGTAAGAAATACTGAACCTGGGACAGAAATCTGAAGAAACACAGAGGGCAGAAAACAGGCAAGGAATAAATAAAAGTAATGGGAAGAGGCAGAGAAAACATAGAATATGGTTATCACAGAAACCAAGGAGAATGTTTCAAGGAAAAAAAGTATCAACGAGACAAAATGTGAATGAGAGGAGTATTTGGTGTGGATGGAAAGATGTGGATTAGTCTTTGATAAAGACTGAAAAGTGAACAATGGATTTTGATACCTGGAAGTCACCATTAAACCTAACAAGCAAAATTTTACTAAAATAAGAGGCTAAAAGCAAGATTTCTTCTTCCATTTCTTTCTCTGGATGATTAATCCTGCTTTGGGGCTTTTTGGAGGCATGGGGCTTGTCTTCCACTTCCCCTCATTTATTTATCTTTGTTTTCTTTGTAATTGCCAGTCTCCTTTCCAACCTACCGATTCTGTATCTAGTCTGTGTGAAACTGGATGACTAATCCAATACTCAATCTCTTGGGCATTTCTACACAGTAAGCTCAAGAAAGTACTACTTTTTAAAATATATATCCCTATCACAGATCATACCCACTGGCTCCCTCTAGGAACACAAGGCATAAAAAGGTTCTTGTTTTTGTTTGAAATCAGGGTTAAGAGGCAATGACAAACCTAGGAGAGACTCCAGATCTTCCAGGGGACACTGACACTGTAGCCAGACATAACTCCCTTAGGTACCAAAGGGCTTTCTCTCCCTCTCCCAGCTGCATCCCAGCAGCCTTTCTTGTGCTTCCTGTTTCAATGAGCTTCCACTTACGATGATGCTGTACTGTTGAACTGTACACTTATCTTTGATTTGCTAATTTGAAAACACAAATGCACACAACTCATCTGTAAGTAAGATTTAACCACCCAGCAATCTGAGCAGCAGACACAAAATTCATTTGGTATAATATCTAATAGTTATGGGAAGCTAATTAAATATAATTTGTTCTTAATGAGGCAAAGAGAATATAACAGTGTTAATTTCAAAGTAGGCTGATCCATGAAAGTCAAGTAACAGCACTTCCTACTTTCAACATTCCCAGGGACCTGAAAACTACCTGATTGCTGGTGGCCAGAATAATCTTTAATGTTCGTCTAATATGTTAAAGTTAATAATCATCTTTGTATCAGTATTTCATTAAATGCTCACAATAGCCCTGTAGATACAGGGTTTAGACCTTCTTTCTCACTGTACAGATCAGGCAATCTGTAGGTACACAGCCAGCCAGCAACAGAAGAGAAACGAACACCGAGTGGGGACTCTACCTGTGGGCCTCCTTGAAGAATGCACCCCAACTCACATTTTTACATGTAAAGATGAATCATTAAAAAAAAATCTTTTAGCAGGAAAAAGTTAAGTTCTGACTATTTGAGCAGAGAGTCATCTCAAAAATAGAAAAATGTTGAAATGGTTTTACTTTATGATGTAAGCAGAAAGAAACATTTATTACTTGCATCTACGAAATCTAAGTGGAGTCTAAACGTGACATCATATAAATGGTACTTCAGATAGAAGCCACTAAAGAGCACCAGGCACATATGGGAAACACATTTCAGAATGTTCTTCCTTATGCGCTGCATCAATATTTCCTTTTTGTGCTTTTATACTGCTATGGGTATTTCTTCATATAAACATCTTATGTTAGGGATCCCTTTGATCATTACAAACAATCTCAATTCAATCCTAAAACCAATGGATTCTTCTGAGTGTGAGAAAGCAGCCGTTTCTGCAAAGTTGCCTGGGGGTACCAACCAATCTATAAATTCCTCTTGAGGTGATGGACTGACTCTGATGAGGGGGCTTCCTGCCAGGACCAGAGGACACATCTGAAGGAGAGTTCATCATATTTTTTTATCTTTATCATTACCAAGCATCACAACAGAACATTAAAACTATAAGAACTCCCAAATTCTCTAAAACAAACCATAGTTTGACCTTTCCACTCATTCATTCATTCACTTATTCTTTTAAGAGACACGGTCTCACTCTGTAATTCAGTCTGTTCTTGGACTCACTATGTTGCCCAAGCTGGCCTCAAACTTGCGGTGATCCTCCTGCCTCGGCCTCTGGAGTGCTGGCATTACAGTGCCAACAAACCCAACCCTTCCTCTCCCATTTAAAGAGAAAGAATAGAGCCCACTGATCTGATCTACCAGATTCAGTATATATGTTTACAAAGCAATACACTGAGTAAAGTCCAAAAGTTCTATCTCACTGAAGTAGCAAAATCCAGACTTGCATTGCACACGCAGGGAAGAGTAAGTCAACCTCAAAGCAAAAGCCTGATCCCACAATAGGGTCCACAGAGACACTCAGAAGCATCTTCTATCTTGAACAAATACCTGTTGGCTTGGATTTCTGTCATGACCCATACCTGGACTCCACAACCTTTGGTTCTCTCTACCCGAAGCCAGGGGGAGAGATTGGCTCAAAGATGACTTCAGTAACACTAGCCCTGTAGCAAATATCCTCAAACCATCTGTCTCTGATCATTAGAGAGAAAACAAGACGGTATTTTTTGAGAAGAGAAAGCAGAATACTATACCCACGCACTCCTGACTTGACCTTTAAAAAGTATGAATGAAAAGAAGCTTCAGTAAAAAAACAAATTTTGGTGACCTTAAAGTGTAAAGGAGATCAGCCCTCCTATTTGGCAGTTGTTCAATCTGGAAAGATGAAGAGAGATTGATTACATCAGAAAGTCTGGGGTCTACTCTCTAGAATTACAATTTGATATCCTATGAAGGAGGCCTTGAAGTTAGGAGCCAGAAGATAACAATCTTGAATTCCTTACTAACTCAAGTAAGTATCACCAGGGTAAGGAAATATATGAAGGGGACTTTTCTTCCCACATTAAGTATGTCTGTAATCTGTCTAGGAACCCAGATAAATAGATAATAAAGAAACAAAACAGCAAAGAGTATTTTTAAAATATCGCCTTAAAATTACAATAGGTAAACCCTACACAAGTGAATACCACTAAATTGATCAAGCAGTTACCAAAAAAGAATAATGCATTCAGAACAAGCCTTGTGAGAAAACCCAAAAGATAACTCCAGAATCAGAACTGATGAATGAGGCCCCCACTTCACCAGCAAAAAAACAGGGGGATTAGAGGGTTGAAATTTATTAAACCGAACACACAAATAATGTTTCCATGTACTTTTGTCACTATCCATGATACCATGGCCAGGTAAAATAATTTTAATGCACCTGTAAATATAGTCCATCAAAAAGACTGTCGGAATGCATTTTTCAAACTGGGTTTGAAATGTCGTATTTCAAAAGGCTCGCCCCTCCCGATCAGGTCCTAGAAGCTGCTGAACCACCGAGGGCCTATCAAGTCAAACCTTTCCAGGAGGAGTAAGAATCATTACACAACACTGTCATTCCTCAGAATGGAACATTGCCTCTATCCAATTATCAAGCACCTGTCATAAAGGGCGAAAAGATTTTCAATTACTTGCAGCAATCAAGGACAACATCAAACATGACAAATGATAACAGCCAACTCACACAGTACACTTACATAGTTCTTGTAGACCCTGTATTAAGCTATTTACTTCTGTTCTCACATTTACTTCCCATGAAACTCAAGAGATAGGTGCTATACCATTATCCCCAATTTTCTAATGAGAAAATCAAGGCTAACCCTAAGGAACGAAATGGTTAAATAACTACTTTGAAGTCGAGAAACTGGGCTGTGGGTGGCTGCTGAGTTTCCTGTTATCTGCTACACTCTATGAGTGAAATGAGTGTATGCTAAATGAGTATGTCCTGTGGTCCCTTTCAGGGATGAGTTCTGGTTTTGTTTTTCAATGATGCAGGGCAGGTATAACCCAAGGCCCCAAGTAGGCATCTTTGGGGATGGGGGAAGACAGGAATACTGGGATTTGAGCCCAGGGCTTTTACGCCAATATACATCTCTGGCTGTATCAGGGATCACACTCTAGGGACCTTGAGCTTGTAAGGCAGGCAGTGGCACCACTGAGCTAAATCCCTGGCCCTTATTTTTAAAAAATTGAGATAATGTCTTACTAAGTCACTGAGTTGCACAATCTGGGCTCAAACTCTTTCCTTGGCTTCCCAGAGTGCTGGGATTATAGGCGTGCCCCACTATACCTAGGATTATTGTCTTTAAAGGTAACTACAACTACAGAAATACTAATTCATCGATTTCATTTTTTATTTATTGTGTCACTACGGCATCAAACACAGGGTCTTGTACATGCTGGGCATGTGCTTCACCCCACTGAGGTATACACCCAACTCTCAGTCATCATTTTAAAAATAATACTTTGAGGAGAAAGTTTTCAGTGGACTAGAAAAAAAATAACTTTCAGATTAACATAAATGATTAATTTTTTAAAATCCTGGACTAGGGGTAAGCTGTATGGTACCATGCATGCTTAGCATGCAGCACGCATGTGACTGCAGGTTCGATCACAAGCGTTGCTTCCTCCAAAAAAGAAAAAGAAAAATCCTAACAGGTATTATTCCATCTGTTGATACGTATGTAAGGGACAGTCAGACAGGGTTTCAGGAAGGCAACCTGATTAACAGAAAGGATGACTTAAAACTAAAAGAACAATTTTAAATGTGGGTATAATTTGCTTTTAAATTTCCACCATAAAACTGGAGGCATGAAATTTTAAAATTTCATGGAGAGAAAAAGGCAGAGGTGGCATGTACCATTTGAAGTTCTGTAATTTGTCAACAGCCCAGTGTTCCTACTCAGCAATTCCTTCATTTTAGTGCACACCTTCTGCCCAGAGCAACTTTTCCTTATCTTCTTCTAGGCAACTGGAATTTCTTTTGGCGGGTGGGTGGGTGGAAGGGGGGTGTACCGGGGATCGAACTCAGGACCTTGAGCTTGCTAGGCAGGCAGCAGAACCACTGAGCCAAACCCCGGGCCCCTAACCAGAATTTCTGTCATGCTTGATTTCTTGATTCTTTCAGTGAAATGTTCAGAATCCTTTCATTTGGATTCACACAGAGCTGGGCTGTAATATTACATTTAACCAGTAGGTGTCATGACCTGAAATACTATAGGCTCCAACTCAAGAATCTTAAAGTGAGACTTCAGGTTACAGTAAAAAGTGGTTCAGGCTGTGTTCAGCTGGTTTGAAAGCTTAAAATTCTCAATCTTGAGCTATGTGTACCTGTAGTCCCTACTACTTGGGAAGCTGAGATGGGAGTGCTTGAACCCAGGGTTACCAAGACAAGACTAGCAACATGGGAAGAAAACCCAGACTTAATAAATAAATCTCTGCCCTAAATTTATCTACTACTTCAAAGTCTCCACTCTGCAGTATCAATGCTGGTATAAAATTGAAGGTTGATTAGAAACACTGATATTTGTCAATGCTAATATATTCACGTTTCCCCCTCTACCTTCCTTTTCCTTTTACATTTAAAACCTATCACACTACCAAGTCATTATTTTCAATAAGTATCATGTAGTTTTAATAGATCAATAGCATAAAGCTAGAGTAATTTGCCACTGTACAAAACACACAGAAATATAACTTACCACTACTGCCACAATCTGCACAGGACAGGAGTTCTTCTGGTTTCTTTTCACGATTGGATTCTTTAGTCCCCAAACAGAAGCTACATATTGGAATGGGATCAGCACGGGGCTGAGACAAATTAAAGTAAAAAAAAAAAAAAAATTAGCTTTCATTTAAAAATATAAAACATTAAAATCATATGCACCTTACATATTTCTTGAACAAAGAAAATCTGCTGAGTTAAAAATTCAAAGAGTGCTTGCTTCGGCAGCACATATACTAAAAAATTCAAAGGAACATTTTATAATTTTAAATATCTTAAAGTATTTGAAATATCTTAAAGCATTATCTGAACAATATAATAAAATGTAATGTATAAGATCCAGAAGTAATTTTTATTAGACCAATGAAATCTAAGAACTATAAAGCTTATTATATAAGCTTCTGAAATGGACATTATTAAAAGTTCATTTGAAATCTCAATGATTCCCATACTCTGCATGCCTATAATAAATTGATTCATCTATCTACTGAACATGATAGCCTATGAATATCATCTAGTCAAGTCAAACTATTTAAGAAAACTTTACCAAATGTTGTAATGCAGGTAGTATTATTCACTTATCAGACCTGAAATGTTGGTATCTTTTTAAGTGACATAGCAAGAACTAAAATTCCAGAATAAAAAACCATAAACAAGGCTTTCCTGGCACCAAGGTCTTCTGAAGGAATCCACACCACACCAGAGCACAAAGGAGATAAAACTCTCAATCTCTGATACTCCCACTTTATAAAAGAAACAAGAAAACATTTGTCTAACCCCCTAGCACCCTTCAACTCTCCATATGGAAATAGCTTTTAACAATGTATAAATCTACATACATTTTAGTGTCTCCATTGTTATTTACTACTACCAGCAATGCTAGTGTTCCCATCCATATAAATATAGCTGACTGTGCCTACAGATCTGGTCACATTATTTTGAACAACCAAAACTGTATAAAAACTGAAATTTTATTGCATATTCCAAGCCTTCACACATGTTGTCTGCTAGGCATCTGAACGTTACTACGTCTTTACATTTTAAACTTGAGAATAAAAAATTCAGGGCAAGAAAATCCAACATAATCACAAATGTTTTAAAATGTAAATCAAAAACAAGATTTGGCTAGGTCTAATTCTCTAACTATACATCCTCATAGAATAAACCTCATTTGTTCAGCCACTCAATCCCAAATGCCCAATCTACTGCCTGGTTCACAGTAGGCACTTAAAATACATTTACTAACTGAATAAAGCAGCATATGCTAGTTTAAAAAAAAAAATCTACCTCATATTAAGATAATATTTCAAATGGTTATAATGATTTCAACAAATGCCTTGGTTCACCATGACAACATGTCATAAATCAAGAGTTCATCTTATGACCGAGCATTGACAAAATTGTTTAATATGACTATTAATTTCAGCTTACAGCATGAGTGTTCATTATCTTGCCCTTATTTTCAGCTTAATTTGTTCTTGTAATGTGCCCAGGCTCTACTTTTTGAAGTAGCTATGAAATGTATTTCTGTAGCCCCAGTTAAAAAAGGCAGATTATAATACATTCTGTACTAGAAAACCAAAAAAAGTCAAGCTAAAACAAATTGGTCACTGACTCCAGCCACAGTTTTTTAAATGCCAGATAATCAGCACTGCATAATTATGGATCCATAGTTATTACTTGCAACTGCTCAACTGCAGTACCTTGGGAACACTTTTGTTCCTTTAAATAGCAATTAAAAGAACAATCTGGTTTTAAAGTGACAACATTCCCCTGATAGATTCTAGCTAAAACATAGCCCTCCTACTAATGGGATTCCTGCTTTCATTTGATAGAACAATGTTCAAGCCTTTGCCACCATCCTTGCAGTGATAAATAATTTACAAAATGTCACATATCATTCACGCAATGAAACAAATCTAAATCTGCAATCCCATTTTTCTTTCCCAGATGAATTTTTAGCTCTAAAAGAGACGTGGCCATCAGCCAGCATTCATGCTCATTTTTCGTTTTTAACCAAAGGTAACACAAAGGACAAAGGTTGCTAGTAGTTCATGGCCAGAAAGACTGATGTCCCACACTCTGTCCAATCACAGAAAGCTGAGATGCTATCACTTCATGCCACGTTCAAGTGAACCCTACCATGCTGATGTATGCTCACGACCATTTATTTTAAGGATAACTATCTCACAATACTCTATAAAACCACTGCATTATACAGAAATGTCTGCCCTGCTGAATTATTGATCATTCAAAGCACTTTTTGCTAACCTCAGTGTAGCCGAGCCTAATTAACTTTAAAAAACTGTCACTTGTATGAAATGAGACTTTTACAGTAATGCATGTAAATGGGTCACAGAATTATTATGATTTACTATTCTCAATCAGACTATAAATTGTTTTAAAAAATAATCCCTTGTTAATAAAGTAAAATGGATTGCAGTCAGAAAGGTCTCAGTAAATGGCAATTTGATTCCATACCTAGCTACTACAGACAAGTGATATTTAAGAGGTTTGAAAACAGAACTCAAATTTCCAAATTCTTTACTTCTGTGAAATCTCACAAAGGCACCTAATGTGCTGACCACATTTGTTCATCAACATGTCTGGTTACTTTAAAGTAATTCCAAGAACAATACTCACGGATGCGTCTGAAGATAAAAATGACCAGTGTATTCTACTCAGGAAGTACCTCTTTCTCCTCCCCCATGCAATGGCCACGGGGAAGCTGAAAGTCAGGGGCCCCTTGTACACCATTCCATTTAATCACCTTCATCACCTTGTCAGGTATGTACATCTTCCTCATTTTAGAGAAGAAATTGAGGACTTGAGAGGTTAAGTCACTTCTCTAAAGTCACACAGGTTCAAGTGTGAAGCCAGTCTCTTTCCCAAGGGCCACCTGTGCTGCTACCCTGCTACCCTTTTTCAGAAAAACAAAACGGTTAAAAATTGTCTTTCCATAAGTGGCAAGTTATTTACTAAAATGCTCAAAAATCTCTTCCAGTTCCCCCCATTACAAGTGGCATATTAGAAAAAGTACTATAAAGGCAACCACTAATGTCATTTTAAATTACTAATTATAATAGGAAAAAGCCCCCCCCAAATCTGGTTGACATCTTTACAATATGGGACAAATTGTCATCATGTGCTTCTAAGTGCTGTACTGAAGGGCTTAGCATCATCTATTTGCAGGGAATTTAATCAAAGAAAACAGTAAGGCAAATCCAAACCAAGGATATTTTGTAAATTAATTCACCAGGAGGGTCAGAGATTTAGTCCAGTGGTTCCACTGCCTGCTTCACAAGCACAAGGACCTGAGTAGGGGAGGAAAAAAAAAAAATCACCAGGATTCCTTAAAAAATGTCACTGTCAGGCAGTCATGGTGGTGCACACCTGTAATCCCAGCACTCAGGAGGCTGAGGCAGGAGAATCGCTGAGTTCGAGACCAGCCTGAGCTACATAGTGAGTTCCAGGTCAGTCTCAACTACCTAGTGAGACCCTGTCTCAAAACACAAAACAAAACAAAAAAAAGTCAGTTTCCTGTAAGATCCTCCAACCTCCCATCACCAGAAGGGCTGAATCAAGTTAGGCAACTGAAGTGGCAATGAAGTAAGATTTATGATCATTGGTTGGATTCTGAATTTTTAAAAAAACAGCTACAGCTCTAAAGGATGTTTTTGAAATAAATGGGAGAATATATATTAACATTCGGTAATATATAAAACAAATACACAAATATAAGTTTATTGAGTGAACACATGGTGGTTATACAGGGCAATGTCTTTATTCTTGGGCTACATATGAAATATTTAGAAATCATGATGCCTGTAACCCTCAAATAATCCAGAGGGTGGAAAAACATAAGTGTGTCTGTGCCTCAACATGCAGAGATCATGAGAGAAAGTCACTGTGGCCATTGTTAATAGATGGCAAATGTATTTTAAGGGTATATACACATTTGCACTGTTATTCCTTTAATTTTCTGTGTGTTGACAACTTTTCCAAACAAAAAGTGGGAGAGGTAGTAATAAGATAGTATCCTTCCATTTTCAAGAGGTGGAGAATGAATTATTATATAGTTGGATTATTAACACTAATAAAACATAGTGTCAATCCAATTACTGATTCACAGGAAATACAGAGGATTATATTAATCTATGAAGCAGGGAGATGGTGGTACCAAAACCCTAGAGGACAAATGACCCAGTTTCTTCATTACATAAATTAAAAGGGAGATAAGAGAGCAAGCAAGCGAAAAACAGAGGAAGGGTTCAGGAGATGGAGAAAGACTTGACTTAAAAGGCTGACCAGCCAATTGCAATGTGTGAGTCTTATCTGACCAGAATTCAAAGGAAATGCAGTGAAGGAATCGGCACTACTCAATCTCAGTTAGTCTTGTGGGAAAGGGAAAGCTGAGGATCTCTATCTACTGAAAGGGCTACCTACCTTTCTTCTCTGTGGCTTCAAGACATAAAATGAGGATTGACAGGGTATGTCACAAAAACTTTCCAAAAGACTTTTCTGTGTTGTCAAAAAATGGAAGGACATTTTATTTTCTCCTTCATTTTGTTTGTATTTTTAAATTAATGGTAAAATATATTTAAAACCATTTTAACAAATGTTATGTGTATAGTTCAGTGGCATTTAGTACATTAACATGTCGAAGAAACAGCACCACCATCCACTTCGACCTTCTCTAACTCCTCAGACTTATACTGTGCCGTTAAACACTAACCCCCATTCCTCCTTCATAATATTTGTGGGCTGGATTATTCTTGAGGTGCAGAGGCCCTGGTAATCAGAAAAGATCATGGAGAGAAGGCTGGATGGGCCCCATCTGGACAGCCCACAAAATCCCTACACTCAAGCTAGGCAGGGGATCTGGGACTTTTCAAGCACCCTTTCCTCATACAGTATGGTCTTCTAATGATTATATAGTTGGAGAACCTTTGAGACCTTTCCAAGCTCTGATGTTTTACTGAGTCTATAATACTTAAAAAGATACTGAAAGTGTCTTTGGGAACACCCCCACCCCCACCAACTCTCATGTGCACACCTTTTCTTAAGAAACATTCCTTAAATTCAG